AATGCATGGGAAAGAAAATAGATAATCATGTTTATTTTTTAGTATTTCTTGTTTTTTTAAAACAATTCTTGCAACATTTACTTAAATGTGTATGAAATCCTGGAAATCCACTATGTGTTATAGGAAGCAGTGCGACAAGCTAAGTAGGTAGATGCCAAGAGAAGCTAAATAAAATTTGAAGAAGGAATGCTTGTATAAAAGGATCAGAGGGAAATTTATATCTCATATTCTGATAAGATTTTCAAGATTTAGAAGGTAGCATGTTGATCATATGTAACTAGACAGATAAATCTTGTAAATAGGTTAAAAGACACAAGTAAAATCCTCACAATTTGGGATACCTTTGTAGGACACTTTCCAGATGAATCAGTAAAGATCGCCCCAAATAATTAAAGAATCCTTCAGGAAAATAAAGCATCTAAGACAGTGGTTCTCAAACTTTAGTGGTCATCACATTTAGCTGGGGAACTTGGTAAAAATGTAAATAAAAAAATTCAAGTATGCTTTGTCCTACTTTAATGGGCTAATACATTCTTCAACAGTTCTGGTGATTGTGATACCTAACCATCTTGGCTCTTTCCATATCAAGTCTGGTCCTTTGAAAAACACATAGCTTGGATCTTATAGTAATTTCCTGGGTTTAAAAGTGACACAGCTCTCTTTTATGCTCCATGTAACTGCTTCTTAACTAATATTTATTTATCCTAAAATCTCCCAGCTTTAAATCTTCTATCATCAAACTATATTATCAATTATCTCTACTTGTTGCAGTTATTTTCTGAGACTGGGTCATTCTTTCTTTGAAGACTTTTGGCACAATGTTATTTTCTCCCAAACACACACACACACACACACACACACACACACACACACACACAGACACAGCCTCTTGTCATGATTTTTGATGATTTTAGTGTCTATAGATGATGCTTTAATAATTTGATATGGCAGAAGGCATTATCCAAAGATGGCCGTAGCAATATTTTCCATCTTCCATGCTTTTTTGCACTGGGAACTTCTTGCCATTTCTGCATCAATAAAGTCCAATCCCCTTTCTCTTGAATCTGAGTTAGACTTAGGAACTCCTTGAAATAGCATTCACCAGAAGAAACATTCTGGAGCCTCTGAAGTTAGATCATAATAGCCTTTGCAGTTTCCACCCCAGTCTCTTAAAATGCTTAATCTTAGTAGGCTCCCTTTGAAACCAAACTACTATACTACAAGTGTCCTAAGCAATATGGAGAAGTCATATTTAAATATTCTACGGAGTAGCCCCAGTGGACATCCCAGCCAACAGCCAACAACTGGTAGCTATGTCAGTAAGCCGTCTTGGACATTCAGTGCAATTGAGATATCAGACATCTGGAGCAATAATATGAAAAACTGAAAAGTGTACTTAATAAACAGATTTATTTGGCTAAGGAGATTTCAAAGCAAAGTACTGGAAGTACCAATGTAATTTTTATGCTACATATGGTAATGCACATGTAAGGAAATATGAAGTAAAAATAAAATTGTTTGATGTTCAAACAACATTCAGAGTAAATACAAAGGTTTCATTTCTGGCTAGGTTCAAAGAAGAAATTAACTCTCTCCACCACTGGCTTCTCCAGTGACAAAATATTCTCACAGTGAAAAATGGTCGCAGGGTGTAGTAGCATCTCCAGAAAAAGGCTGTAAGATCCTTTGCTAACAATAGAGAAATAGAGGTTTTCAGTTAGACAAAGAACCTTCTAAGAATCTTTAGAACATTTTTTCAGAGTACTGTAACTGTCAGATAAAATCAGAAAGATAAAAATCTGAAAGGTATTTGTGGGTATGACTTTTGTCTAATAGGGTAAACTCTAATATTTTTGTAGCAAACTCAGTTTTTAAGAAAAATATACAAATATAAGTACCATGAACTTTGGCAGAAAAGGCCACAGTCATTGCAAAATAAAAGAAGGCTTTAGGTTTTTAACTTTATTAAGCAGGAAGAAGTTTGAGAAAACTACTCATATGTAAATATAGGTCATTTTTTTTTGCTACAAAAATAAGATGACATAGAATATAGAGTCAATTTCCCTGTGTTTGTAGCCAAGCCATGGAGAATTATTCCCAGGGAGCAGTATTGAATCCTTATTAGGAAACTGGTGATATATTTCTGGCTGTACTTTAGAATTAATTATAATAGACAAGTGGGGGTTACAAACCTTTTCCTCTATTTCACATGTAAGTATCTATTGCAGTTGTTCTATGTCTGTATCACAATTGTATATTGGCTGTGTAGGATGCAGATAACTCATTTAATTTACTTCACAGAACTCCAAACCGAAAGAAGCTGTACTCATGTCACTCTATAAAAGGAACTGAACCCAAAGGGTCTTCTTCATACTTTATCCTGATTTTGAGGGTGAGATTCTGGGCTTCAAATTGATCCCATAATGAGAAGGAGACTTTGGAGTCTTCAAGAAGAGACAAATGTATTTTGCATATATGAGGATATGTGCATTGTGGCCAGAGGGTAGAATGTTGCAGGGTTTATTTTTCAAAGATGGCAAAACAATTTTTTGCATCGCATACACTCTTCTGCAATATTACCTCACTACTCTTCTAATAGGTAAAGTCTAATTTCTTTCGCTATTTTTCTGGTCTGCCCTTAAAATGTTTTTGAAAAATAGATGTGACATTTGAGGATATTTGAGGCAAGATTATAAGACATCTTACAGCTTTGTTTTTGGTGTTTTTGAATATGTACTTTTTGGGCACTATAGAACACAAACATCATGCTGTGATAATCTAAAGCCATATGGAGAGGTCATGGGGTTGACAGCTTTGGCTGAGCTCCTAGTTAACAGCACCAGTGCTAGGCTTGACTAGTACTTCTGATTATAGCCACATAAGAGAGCTATCCCAAGTGAGAAATGCCCAGATGACCTCAGAAAAACCTATAGCATCATAAGGGATAATAATAAATTGTTTTAAAACCATTGTTTGGGAGTGGTTTGTTATGCAACAATAGTTGACTAGAATAATTTGATTCTTAATACAATGATCTTTCTTCCACAGATCTTGACCACTGTGCCCCATCTTCTCAATTCCTTGGAAATATTTCTGGAGTGCCATGGATTGCTGAAGATGCCCCAAGGAATGTCTACAGCAAAGCCATTGGCCTGGGATGAAGGTGAGAGGATAAAAACTAGAAAAAGGCCAGAGATAGAATATGAGGCTGCTAACACTATTTTGCCAGTGTATCCATCAACAGAAGTTATACCTTTGATGCCTTAATTGGCATAATTACTCCAGCCACACAATAAACATCTCCCTGGCTCCCACACCTACACATGCTTGGGAATGAGGGCCTTTAGGATGCCCAAATGCTAGTCCCCAATCTAGTGACAGATTCAACTTAAAAAAAAAAAAATTTAATTGTGTATATTTAAGGTATACAACATGATGTTATAAGATACCTATATCTGTAGTATATACATGTTCCACTATTGTGGAACACATTGACATATTCATTGTCTCACATAGTTACCCATTTTTCCCCTTGTAGCAAAAGCAGCTACAATCTACTCATTTAACAAAAATCCTGGATACAATATACTGTTATTAACAATATTGCCCATGTTGCATATTAGGTATTTTAACTTGTTCATTCTACGTGTTTGCTATTTTGTATCTAATATCTCTATTTCCTCTCTGTGGCCCTAACCCTGGCATTTTATCCTCTATATGTTTTAGACATCCCCTGTTTCCAAATTTCACATGTAAGTGAGATCATGTGGTATTTGTCTCTCTGGGATGGGCTTATTTGATTTAGTATAATCTTCTCCAGGTCTATCTATATTATGTCAAATGACAGAATATCCTCCTTTTTAAAGCCTGAATAATATTTCATTGTACATATACACCACAGTTTATTTATTCATCCATTGATTCAGTTTTAACTTCACTCTCTCTCTCCTCAAACTCCTCCAAGATTGGCAAACACTGGAACATTTTCTGAATTCCTCAGATTAATTACCCTCATCTCTTGGGAGCTCAGGCAACCTCCAGGGTCAGTTTTACACATAATAATAGTTGTGCCTTGTGTGTTGGGGAGTGGAAGAAATAAGTTGGGTTTGGCAGAAATAAGCAAAGAGCTAGATGCTGGGCACCCTGAGGACCTTTACTTAAGTTACTTAAAGCGCCACACCATTTATTTTGGGCACCCAGAAGTGAAGTGTGGAGAGATGCAGGGCCATGATTGTGCTCTCCAAGAGCCATATGGGTGTTTGCTAAGATATACCTACATACATAAGCACACACTCACACATACACATTTGCAGAAGGTGTCTGGACCAGCTGCCTACCCTCTCACTGCCTCCCTTTCAGGTAAGTGGTTCTAGATGAGGGTGGGCTTTATATTTACATTCTGGTGAGTTTCAGCTGTCCAGCACCCCATTGCCTACTTCATTCTTCATTGTCAATGCACCTTTCTCATCAATAATGTTCCCACTCCCTCATATCCTGTATCTGCTGAAAATGTGGATTCCTTAATTTTTGGATGCAGAATTCTATTATAAGCTTTTAAGTTACCTTAATTTACAAAAGTCAGTTTTGTTGAATACATTTCATCTTTCGGCTTCCGAGAGGGCTATACTGATTGCATTTTGTCAGCTTCTCTTTCTATTCCATACATTTTTGTTGCACATATCTCAAGTTCTATTCTTTATGTTGATACGTTTATTTCTTAATATTAAAATATATTTTATGAGATATTTACTTAATAAGAACCATTTTGTCTTTAATAAAAGCATTTAGCATAGAATATATCCTCTTGAATATTAATGCAGTTATACCTCATTATTGCTACTATACTATTACAACTGTACTTTATGATATATAACATGATTTCAGAATCATTTTTGTGTATAACATTTCAATCTTTGTTTTCCATTTTGAAGCTCTTTTTGAAATTGAAGCTCATGTAGGCTCTTTATTGTTCTCCATAGGTACTTCAGCAGGGTGCCACCATGACTGCTTGCAATGCCTCACAGGGCCACCCTTCTTTCTTCATTCTCCAAGGCATTCCTGGCATGGAGGACAAACACAAATGGATAGCTATCCCATTTTCCTCCGTGTATTTCATTACTGTGCTTGGGAACTGCACCATCCTCCTCACCATTTCCACAGAGCGCTCCCTGCACAAACCCATGTTTCTGCTCCTCTGCCTGTTGGCCCTCACAGACCTGGGCATGTCTACAACCACCATTCCCAAGGTGCTGTGCATTTTCTGCTTTGGCCAGAGTGAGATCAGCTATGAAGGCTGCCTGGTTCAGCTGTTCTTCATCCACTCCATCTCGGCCATGCAGTCAGCTGTCCTGATGACCATGGCTTTTGATCGCTATGTGGCCATCTGCAAGCCCTTGCACTATGCCACTATCCTTTCCAATAGTCGCATTGGACTCATTAGTCTAGTGAGTTTGGTAAGAGCTATCCTCTTTATTCTCCCCATGCCCATCCTCCTTCAGCAAATGCCCTATCATGCCAATCATGTCATCCCCACCACCTACTGTGAGCACATGGCTGTTGTGAAGATGGTTTGTGTAGATACTACACTCAACCGGATTTATGGCCTGGTGGTGGCCTTGTTGGTTGCTGGGCTAGACCTCTCAGCTATTGCTTCATCTTACGTGCTAATCATCCAGGCTATACTGCGTCTCTCTTCTAAGGAAGCCCACCACAAAGCAGTCAACACCTGCACCACACACATCTGTGTCATGCTTATTTCTTATACTCCCTCACTTTTCTCTTTTCTCACTCACCGCTTTGGCCAAGGCATTCCACCCCATGTCCACACCATTCTTGGCAACCTCTACTTCCTTGTACCTCCAATGCTCAATCCTATAATTTATGGAGTGAAAACTAAGGAGTTCTGGGACAAAGTGACCAAATATGGTTGCTGGAGAAAAGAACCTGCAACCACCGCCCATGGCCAGAAACTTGTCTGCTAATCCAGCATCTGTGAGTTTGAGGAAGGAATGTTAAGTAGATGCAGTTCCTGAGGAAATAAGCTAGTGATAGAAATGTGTTATATTGGCCGATTTAGCTGACAAGACATTTGTCGGTGGTCAGAGAGGCCTAGGCATAGGAGACCTTTTGGTCTCAGTAACTCCAAAGCAAGGAAATTATCCCCACTGTGAAATGAAAATAATGACATTTTCTCTCTATACCTGACACAGGGGTTGTACAAATTACATGTTATATGTCTATAAAAGCACTTTGAACGACAGACAGACAGACAGACAGACACACACACACACACACACACACACACACACTGAACACATGCAAAATGAGTAGAATGTTTTCATGTGGTGAGGACATATGAGCAGCGAGTAACTTGCCCATCTTCAAATCAATGAGTTGTAGAATGCTACTTACTTTGCCAAGATAAGGCTGAGTTGTGTGTTTAGGGGTGTGTGTGTGTGTGTGTGTGTGTGTGTGTATCTTTGTGTTCAAGGAGAAGGTAAAATGGAGAAGATTGTTTAGGGGGAGTGAAAAAGGATAATGAAAGTGCAAAATGGAATTTGGTCACCATGTTATTCTTGCTGCAGAAACCTTACACTTGAGCAGCAGAACTTGTTGCTTCCTTATAAGCCTAGGGAATATGTACAGAAAACATAATCTGAAATTCCCAGAGAAATTTCAAAGGAAAAGGGGAAAATGCGAAACTCTTACTCTTAAAAGGTGTATATGCATTCTTACAAACTTTTATTTGTAACAGTTCCTAGAGTCAACTGTTCTGTTTGCCTCAACTAATTCCAGCATATGACAAGAATCTCTAGCAAAGAGAAAATTCTGAGAATGTTCTTTAAAGGGTCATAGTTATAAAAGTCAGTTTTATATTGGAAATCTTGGTTATATAACTCTGCCAGGCCATTTCTCTGGAAATCCAGGAAGAAATCATGAACAATCGCTTGGGGAGGTGTGTAGAGTTCAGATTGTGTGCCAAGATATGTGAACACATTAAGTTCAAGAGATATTGTTCATCACTTCTAGACATTGATTTGGAGTATAGCATTAAACATTTTAAGACACATAAAGTTTGTGGCTTGAAATATTTTAGGGGTTGTCCTCATATTGTACAGCTGATATATAAAGGCAGAATCCAATGAAAAAGATACCTACTTTAAAAGCCATGAGACCACTATTTAAATGAAACTCTTAGAGTGTCAGGAAAATAAATGAAACTTCTCCAGAATGTTGCTCTAGTTATACTAATAATTAAGGCTTCAAATAAGCAAAAAAATTAATAACATAAGCTGAGAAAGGTGGGATATTTCAGATCTTGAAATAAGAGGCCCAACCTTCAAGAGGGGAAAGAAAAGAGAATTGACTAGGAAGTGCCTTTTCTATAAATGCAAGACCAGAGATCAAGGGAAATTTGCAGGAGCATTAATGGCTGAAGAACAGAGTACTGCTTATCTGAAATAAGTATTAAGTAGATATTTAAGCCATCACAAACCTACAAAGAAAAAAAGTCATCAGCAAAATGTTATAGTTAAGAATTTCAAGTAACCTGAGGGAATCATTAGCTTGACGCTTGTAGCAGCACTGAACTTCCTTTTTGCTAAACTCTAAGAGTTAATTTGTTTGTTTGTTTATTTACTCTGGTTGAAATAGGATTGAGGGACAAAAGCAGAGAGTTCAAATGCTGTATGATATTATGGTATCTCTCTTTCTTTCTCTTCCTTCCTTCCTTTCTCTTTCTTTCTTTCTTTCTTTCTTTCTTTCTTTCTTTCTTTCTTTTCTTTTCTTTTCTTTCTTCTTTCTTTCTTTTTCTCTCTTTCTCTTTCTTTCTTTTTCTTCTTTCTTCTTTCTTTCTTCTTTCCTGAGAGTTTTTATAAAAATTATGTTACTATTCAACCCAATACAACATGTATCTGTTCATACCTATTTCTTATGTAAACAAAAATCTTCAAGTATTATCACTATAAAATGGAAATATGTTTACACATGGTATTTTGAAATTTATTGTTTAACCTAACATTGTTTGGCATCAACCCATGATGGTGTATATAAATTTACAGCACTTTAAAAATTATCTTATAGAATTTTTTAACCAATCCTGTATTAGTAGACATGTGCATTGACTCCATTTCTTCATTTGTATAAACAATATCATGGCTATAGAGCAGGGATTAGAAAACTGTGATATGTGATTTACGTTTGGTCTGCTGCCTGTTTTTATAAATAAAGTTTTACTGGAATACAGCCAGACTCATATACTTACATTATAATTTATGGCTGCTTTTGCACTAGAGTAGAAATGCTGATTAGTTGTGACAAAAACTGTATCACCTGCAAAGCAAAACATGTCTACTCTCTGAAACTTCACAGAAAAATTAAAGGAGTAAAGGAGCCAGAGACACAGAGAGTGTGGGGAATAATTACTCATAGTTCCTTCTTCTCTTGCCCTCCAAATTCCTTTTAGTGTCCTATGATGGTCATATGAATGTGTTGCAGAGGCCTCCTACTACAGGGAGCCTTAATTGACTGAAAGGCCTAACTCCTGCAATTTGAAATCTATCATTGAATTTGAACGCAGGTGATGCCTCCCATTGGCTACTCTCCACTATGACTGAGTGTGGCAAGGATGCTGAAGGAAACCCATTACTGGGGAATGTGGGACATGTTGGTAGGCTCCTTGATAAGCTGACTTCAGCTTTGCATCACAGTCTAAGATACTTTGACCAAAACTTCTCTTTCTTTCTTTTTAACTTGAGATTGAACTTATGTTGTGATGTGACTGCTGTCCCAATCTATGATGATTTGCTTCCTTATTTTCTTTCACACGGTGTTTCTTTGACTAAAATTCTTATATGTAAATCCCATTTTGGCATCCGCTTTGCTCAAGAGTCGTAGTAATACTAGTAACACTGAGAGTGGTACAAGTAGATAAGAAACTGGGACTTTCTGTCTGGCAGGCAGAAGATGCTCTCTTGATTGGTAGGTGGGGCAGGATAGTACCTGAGAAGAGGTGGTAGTTCAGTTGCTATTTCACCAGTGGAAGTAAAGGTGGTAAGTGCAATGATATAGCCATTTGAAATATATGGAGGAAGAATCGCCTACAAAAATAATAGAGTTTACTAATTACTGGTGACTTATTTTGATGTTGTTTTGAAATATGAGAGTCTCAGAGCCACTAATAATAGCTCATTGTAAGAACCAGAGAGCCTCAGTGGTGGTAGTTTATGAAGAGTCTTTTATCACCTATAGTGGAAAGGCATACCCAGTCAATGGCAGGCTGAATACTTACTTGGGAGACTCACAGGGGTCCAGTGAAGTCTAAACATTCAACTAAAGTGGTTCTATTACATGTAGGTCAATATGTTGGTAAAGAAAATCTAGAATTTTGAAAACTGGGACAGAATCATTATTATCCAGATGGGTGCTTCTGAAGACAAATCCTATGGAGATGCAAGAACTAGCCACTTTAGTCAAGTTTTTCAGGGTGCAGAAATTAGGGAAATACCAAGATATCCCCTCAAAAGCAAAAGTCAAATTGATATATTTTTGCATACTCTCCTCCAACTCCATGAGGAAAGAAACACAGAGCTTAATAATACCCTTTAGAAGCTGGGGACACATCCCACATGTAAAAATATTGCTTAAGTTCAAATACTGGGTGACGTAGGAGGCTTAACTTTAACTGGGGGCCAGGAACAGCAGTCTCAGGCCATTCATTGTGCAATCATCTCTGCTGCTTGGGCCGCATGATCTGGCAAACCTGTTATTGGGTATCAGTTGTGGGACAAGATGCAGGATGGAACTAATGTCCAGTTCCAGGAGGAGTATCACAATGAAGAATCATGGGATTTGGGGGTAAGACCATACCAACTGCAGCAGAGGCTTGCTTGCCTTTTGACAAACAGCTCTTAGTGTATTATTGAGCCTTGGAAGAGATAAAACATTTGAACACAGACACTTTAGTAACCAGATTACATGATGTCACCCAGTGACTCACGTTTCCTGGACACAAGGCCTTTTTTGGTCCTGTTGCACATTGTACCAGAGTGATTCTGCATGGTCAATAGAAAATGGCAGATGTGACAGTAGACTGTATCAGAGCCTAGGTCATAAAATGTTTTGAATCTTTTTCTCTCTTCCTGGATTACTAACTCTTGGGGAAATCAGCTTCCGTGGGCATGCTCTAGTAGCCTCATGGAGACATTGATGTGGTAAGAAACTAAGGCCTCCAGTCAACAGTCATGTAGGTATATATGCTGGCTAATGTTTTATATTTTTAGTGGAGACAGGGTTTCACCGTGTTAGCTAGGGTGATATCGAGATCCTGAACATGTGATCTGCCCACCTCAGCCTCCCAAAGTGTTGGGATTACAGTCATGAGCCACAGCACCCGGCCACTCCACAATTTCTTTATTCTATATTCTTGGTTGTCTTTAAAAAGACAATATATAAGGACACATGTACACGAATGTTTATTGCAGCACTGTTTACAATAGCAAAGACCTGGAACCAACCCAAATGCCCATCGAGGATAGACTGGATTGGGAAAATGTGGCACATATACACCATGGAATATTATGCAACAATCAAAAATGATGAGTTCGTGTCATTTGTAGGGACATGGATGAATCTGGAGAACATCATTCTCAGCAAACTGACGCAAGAACAGAAAATGAAATACCGCATATTCTCACTCATAGGTGGGGGATGAAAAATGAGAACACATAGACACAGGGAAGGGAGTACCAAACACTGGGGTCTATTGGGGGGAAGAGGGGAGGGACAGTGGGTGGGGGGAGCTGGGGAGGGATAACCTGGGGAGAAATGCCAAATGTGGCTGAAGGGGAGGAAGGCAGTAAAACACACTGCCATGTGTGTACCTATGCAAATGTCTTGCATGTTCTGCACATGTACCCCAAAACCTAAAATGCAATTAAAAAAATAAAAAAATAAAAAGACAATATAAGCATAACAGAATGGAAAGATGTCTTATGATTAGATATATTAGGGTTAGAATCCAGGCTAACTACTCACTACCAGTAAGTGTAACTTAACATAAAGAAATTGAGCTTTTGTAACTTAATCTGCAAAACAGATATTATTATATAACTCAAATTAAATTTAATATAATTTAATGAGATATTAAATGTATAAATACATAGAATAATTATAATGGAGCCACATAAAGAGATGGTATTTTTGCTGGAATTAATAGAATGTGAGGAAGATAATGTGGAACCCTTTATTTGTTCCTTTTCTAGGACAGAAATACCCCAACCTTAGACATTACCCGGAATTTTCTGAGTTTCCTATCACCCAGGATCTTCACATGCTTTCCAATATTTGAATGCTAGAACTCTTCTCCATCATTGGGATTATATTTTATTTTATTTTATTTATTCTTTTATTGCATTTTAGGTTTTGCGGTACATGTGCAGAACATGCAAGATAGTTGCATAGGTACACACATGGCAGTGTGATTTGCTGCCTTCCTCCCCTTCACCCACATTTGGCATTTCTCCCCAGACTATCCCTCCCCAGCTCCCCCTCCACGCTGCACCTCCCCTATTCCCCCCAATAGACCCCAGTGTGTAGTACTCCCTTCCCTGTGTCCATGTGTTCTCAT